GCACTCTTCCAGCAGGAACCGCTCCTGCGGGCCCGTTTCTCTGTAGCCCTCAACAGAGTCAAAACAGCCTTTGAAACTCATTTGCTGAATTCTGTTTCTCTTAGGCATAAATGTAATCCACTATAGTAATTATAATGCATCAACAATATTAGAAACAGCCCAGAGGTGACCTATTCTTAGTTTTGGTTTTCTTTATATAATAATAATAATGAATTTAAAATTTCAATGCTAAAGTTAAAATATTAAAAAAAAAACCACAACCCAACCACAAATTAAACAATTTCTTTCTTCTCTCTCCCTTAACCGTCATGTATTATTTTGCACATCTAGGACCAACTTGTATGTCCATAAATGTGCATATACGTGCAGCATGATAATTTTTTACTTTTGGCTAATGCAGTAGAACAGCTGAAAATCAATTAGACAACAACGCAGTCCTGACCCAAAAATCTGCCAACTCTACCATCAGGGCTGGCATCTTTAGCATTCAGCAAACAGTAAAATGAATCTTCTTTATGGCAAGATATTTTCATAGGTCAAACTGCTTCAAGCAGGTCAGCATAGTCCCTGTCGAGACAAATGAGCTCACTTTCTTTGTCCATCAAGTAGCTGTATTCATCTAAACTATATCTGCAACTGGTTCAACTGGAGTGGCCCGCAAAATGCCAGCATAAACCTTGCAGGATTTTGCAATAAGCCTTGCACAGTAGCTGTTAGGGGAAAAAGAAAACAGGTAAGAGTCTGTCTGCTTTACCTCTCAATCTTTGGGGCAGTTAATCAGCGTGGAAGGTATTGTTCAGAAATGGACTGGAACAGTAATGAATAAGTCAGTTTGTCATGGGGGACACAAATTCAGAAGAAATGATTGATGCTTACTAAACAGCTTTTCTAGCATTCACTTCTGTTATTTTTACTCAGAGGAGCAGAAGAGGAGAAAACAAGGATCGTAGAAGTGTTCCAGGAACGAAATGTAAAGCAAAGTAAGAATGAAATGTATCTGCAGCCTACAGCTCTCGCAATTACAGTGAAGTCTTCCACCGGGTGGAGAAGACAGATGGATGGAGCGTTTCAAACGAGACTGCTGCATACCAAATATTTCTACAAAAATTAGAGTGGGATCAAATATAAGGGAATCTGCACTCACGTTGCTGTACAAGGGGAAGCGACACCACCGCCGAAAGACCCTGAAACTACGTGTAGCTTGGCCAGCCTTAGTCGCCCATGCTGCAACTACCGGGGTGGGCAACGCCTGCCTTGTGAGCTCCCAGACCTGCCAGGGTGGAGATGGTCGCTAGTGGAAGGTTACTGGGTGTGGTGCTATCCCCCCAAAATGGGGAAGGGACAGGATGGAAAGAAAAGATACATAATCCACCTTTTCTTTAAACAGTCATCTTTGTGTGCTGTTTTCTCCCCGGTCCTGAACAGCACGTGTCTATCCTGGGTGGATTTCACCACACAGTGTGTAGCTGTGAATGAATATGGGCCCAGGAGCAAAAATTGCAATGGGACCCTGAACTACATCAACCACCACCGCCGTGATTTGCAAGCCTTAGTGGGAGGATGGGCCCTGAACTACTTATTCAGTGAAGAATATTTATGATCTTAATTGAAATATTTTGAATTTCTTAATATAATAACAAAATCACCTAATGCTCAGAGACGTGCATATCTCTCTTCTCTTTTTAATGCTCATTCTTCAATGGGCATTAGCTTTCTAAATAAATTTGAGACATTCAGATACAACAACAAGACATAAGTGAACTAACTGGTGGCTTAAGTTAAAGGAGTGCACATATAAGGAGGGAATATATATTCCTCTGCGAACACACACATATATATGCATATATATACATATGCACACAGGCACACACATAGGTGCATGCTGAGCGAGCCTGAATCTATACCCTGAGGTCTCAGCAGCAGGGAGCCGGAGGGGGTTTCCCTCTCCTTTCTAGATCTCCTTTTTCCGAAACACCAAGCAAGACAGCAGCAAGCTGGAGAAAATGAATGTGCTGAAAACCTTGGGGAAGGAGAGTGAGGACAGTCGGGCATCTGTGAGCGGGGTTCGCTCCGCAGACGGGAGCAGGAGGTAAGGTGCTAGGAAGCAGTCGGTGCTGTACAGCTGCTTGCAGGCAGGAGGGGGCAGAAATATCAGGTGCTGCTCTGCCTATCTGCGCTCAGCAGGTGTATTCATGAAAAGTAATAATGCCTTTTATCAGGTCAGGCAATCATTTTATTTTGGCACTTTAGTGTGCTAGAGTTTTGTTCACTTATCAAATATTTATTTAAGGAAACCTCACTGCATATGCAGGTTTTACATGAATTAGCAGCAAAGTAATTCATTTGCGAGTCTTATTCCTTCACCGGGCATATATTGAAATGGGCTTCAGCGTAGGCAGTTAAATGTCTGTAATAGTATATCCCATTTCTACTTTAATTTTCACAGCGCAGCGGGGGAAAAGCAGTCACCCCTGTTTCCCCGTGACATCCCTTTCATTTAAACTACCCGCTCTGAGCCTCCACTCCCTTGCCAGTCCCCCAAAAACCGCCTGAGGTCCCCACCCGAAGAGGCTGCTCAGGAGAGGAGCTGAGGGTGAGGCGGGAGGGGAAGCAAGCGCTTTCTTCCCACGGAGGGACTCGGGCGCAACTTCACGCCCTTCAGTTTTATTCCCTGTAAGAGAAGGGAGCCTCGCTGCGCCAAGTGCAGCTCCTGGGGCGCAGCTTCCCCTGCAGGTTTCAGCCGCTTTCCCCGACGAAAAAGAGGGTCCCGTCGGCAAGGGGAGGGCTCTGCAACGGGCGGGGAAGCCGGGGAGCGGC